GGGTAAGTTCTGCTCGCGCGGAGGGTGTGAAGGCCAGAAACGAAGGATAAAATAACGCGGAAGCCAAGATGGTGTCGCCCGCGGCTGGAGGTGGAGAAATTGGTTCCTGAATTTCGATGGAGAAGTAATCATGTGGACAAGTCACGTGGATAACTAATTCCATGGTAACGTCAAAACTCAAAAGATACTTGTGGATCGATCTGATTGTTAGTTATATTTGCTGTTTGGTGTTTGGGAATCACGTGCGGGCCTTAATTTTAGGAGTAGTGTCTCACGTGAGGAGCGGGTAATGGGGATGGATTTGAATTGAGCTTTGCTATAGGGATCCAAAATATGGGACCAATAAATGGGACAAGTGAGGTGTCCCCCTCCTATTGGATAATGAGTTGATCATCATTAATGATGATTAACTCATTATTCAATAGGAGGGGGACACCTCACTTGTCCCCCCTATTGGTCCCATATTTTGGGTCCTTGAGGAATTTTTCATTTAAATTTGATCGTTTTTACAATCCAGATCGACGGTCCACATTGATTCTCATAAGCTGGCTGGTGAATTGAAGTGGATTTTTTGACATATGTATTGAATTGAATGTGATGGAAGGGTTTGATTTTTCGCATTGTGCTCGAATTGTCAAAAGATGCTTGTAGCGAGACAGATTTAATGACAGTAAGTAAGAAGGAATTTGCATTAGATGAGACATGTGTGCTAGATTTAGATGTGACTCTAGCAGTAGAGCTTTCATCATGCAGTATTTTGTGATCATCATAAGAGCAGGAGATGGATCATATGTGTGTAGCCTCGAGGATAATATTAGATCAAGTGGAGCTTGCAACCGGGCACTAGCGAGTGACACACACAGAGATGGAGTTACCGATATTGGATTTGTAGGGAGGTGTAGGACAATGAGTGTTCATGTTTAATCTAAGCCAAGCAATAAAGTGGATAAAAGCATCCCGACTCGTAGGATAGAGTAGGAGAGGTGCACCGATATGGTTCGAGACGAATGATGCTGGTAGAGTACAAGGATAGCAAGTAGAGGAAGGCTCTTATCAGGCTCAGGTTGGAGAAGAAGCGTGTTATATTTGCTTCTGATGGTAATGTGGCAAAGATCTCTTGGTGCACACATGAGAGGTGTTTGAGCTACGACGAGGCAGGTGGAAGTGAAGATCACATGGCATTTCGATTGGGGTGTGGGTGCTCTGGCTAGGAGTGTGGACCCTTTCGTTGGAAATGCAAAAGAACATAAGACGCTACTAGCAAAGGAAAAAATTCAACGGCAATAGCAGATCTACGAGGTGGCGCGGGAATCAAATACAATGTGGAGATTGGTGGGACAGTGCCTTTGATTATTTATATAACTTCATCTAAATTAGATAGGATTACAAGTCTATCATGGCTAGGAGATTGAGTTTCAATTTGATGATGAGTTTGTATCCTATTCTAATGAGGAAGAAAAACTTGCATAGAGTTTTGATTGCCATATATGTAGTGTTTTATTATTGGAGGAAAACCAAGGAGAAAAAAAAAGAGAAGAAGTGAGCCGTTATTCTTATAATCTAGGTCAGTAGATGACTTAAACTAGATTTAAGAATAGC